CCTGGGACCCCGGGCTCCCCACGTTCAGGGGTCCGTCCGGGCAGCCCCAGGAACGAGGGTAGGATCCGCCGCCCCTTCGCGAACCCCAAGCGACGCCGGGCGCCAGGCAGGTGAGCGCGAGCTAGAGGTTGGGCGGAGCAGAAGGGTCTTCGGGAACTGCCTGCGGGGACGAGCAGGCTCGCTTTTCACGCGGGCAGCTGCTAGTGCTCCTCCGAATGGTGTTTCTCCCGGGCTTCAGCTGTCGTTTGCCCAGGCCTTAGGCTCCCGGAGTGGACGGAGAGGCTGCACAGTTTCTTCTTCCTTTAGACCTGGCACTCCGAATTGATTCCCTCACCCCTGGGACTAGTCGTTTCCGCTTGTAAAGAAATTTCTGCTCCTCAGATCTTCCTCTTGATTAACACGCTGTGGAGAATGAGGTTCAAAGCCTAATTCTCAGATGGCAAACCTACGTGGGGGCGGGGCGGGGGCGGGGGTTGACAGTAATGCTTGGAAATAACCCAGACGTGGATTTATTACATATTATCTATGTATTATAGAATGTGTAATATAGAATTAATCATTCTATATTACTTTATATTAGGTACAATGGAATTACTTTATATCAGGTACAGGTGGATATAAAAGGAGATTGATGCAAATGGAGTTATGAACCTTTGACTGGGCCTAGCTAAATGATCTTTGTATTGTCTGTTTACTTCTGTATGGGAATTAGAATATTTTGCATTAGTTACACTTTTTAGTTTATCATTTAGTTGCTGTTTATTCAGCTACAGATCTATGGGACTAGAATTAGTTCCTGAATTTGATCCCATTCAGAATTTAGTATGACTGATTTATTACGTAGAAAGCAAGACTAAATGAACCGCAGGGATTTACTTTGTACTAATTGTCTATACTTAACCTCGGTTTTTACTAAGAAATACTTAATTTTGTGCCAGACCTGCAATCACCTGAATTCTCTTCATTTGAGTCCCTAGCGAAATGCATTGAGTACCTTAAATAATTAAATGTATCTGGGAAATTACTTTTTAAACATTGAGGTGAAAACAAACTTTAAACTATTCCTGAATAGTGGAGTAGTTAGTGTTGCTATATTTTAATAACATGTACTATTGGTGGAGTCAATGCCAATGATTGTAGCAAAGTTGTAAATATATTTTTTTTCTTAGCAAGCTGTACGTTGACTTTACATTACCCATTTGTTTACCTAGCTTGGATTCCAAGCTGGGTAATGATTGTGAAATGATTGGTTTTCCTAACGTTTTGTGTGTGTTTTTAATTTACAGGCAGAGAGTATATTATTCCATCCTTGGCCCACAGATTTATGGCAGAGATGGTGGATTTCTTTATTCTCTTCTTTATAAAAGCAACGATTGTCTTAAGCATTATGCACCTCAGTGGAATAAAGTAAGTTAAGACTATTTGCAGAAAGGTTTATTAAAACCTATCGAGAGATCTCATTTTGTTAAATTCTATTTATGCCTGCACGTGACTATGGATAATCTGTTTGCCAGTGTCATGATTTCTTTATAGTTTTGTGAGATTTTATTTTGTTAGTTTTAAGAAATAACTACAAAAAAGAGAATAACACTGCAGAAAATAACTACAAAAAAGAGAATAGAATAACAAATCCTGCCAAATCCATAGGACTCTCACCCATCAAAAGTAGGTAAAAGGAGCCCCCAACCTTGGTTTGATTTGATTCAACTATTTTCTCAGGCAGAACTCATTTCCCTCTTACTAGGCATAAAGAGCTTTTGGAAGATGAACTATTAATAATCAGGTAGGTGGCATTTCCAAATAGGATTGCTTATATCAGGAAAGTCCCAAGTGAACTGCAAAGTGAGCCACTTGTTTGAATAATCCTCCTTTCACATTAATAATCATGGTAGTAATTATCACTCCCTAAGCACTCTGTGTATGCTAGGCATTGAGCTCACCTCTTTATATGGATTCTTAATCTTATCACCAGTATGAGCTGTTAATACCTCCATTTTATAGAGATTGAAATTTGGGTTTACAAGAAGTTAAGCCCAGAATTTACAAAGTTACAAAGGTAATAAGTGACAGAATCAAGATACAAACCCTTGGAGTCAAATTTCAGGGCTCTTGCCAGGAACCTGAGTTACTGTGACTCCTTCCTCTTTCTCTCCTACCCTCTACATATCCCCGTACCAGCTCCTTTCTGTTGAACCTCCTGAATAGCCTTCAACCCAGACCATTTTTATCATCGTTTCTCCCTAGTCCAGTTATTGCCATGCCTTGCCTATATTATAGTAAAAGTCTCCTGTTTCCTGTTTTATCTCAATCCAGTCTGTGATATAAAACCAAAGAGATCATAAATTGATTCTGCTCCTTTCCTGCCTTAAAACCCTTCCTTCAGTAGTTCCTCACTGCCATCAGGATCAAGTCTTATCTTCATATGGTTTAACTTTAAGATGCCCTTATTTCCTAATCACTGTTACCTCTCATACTTAATATATGAGCCATACCAAACTGCTTATAGCTTCCATCACTTTCTTGCTCCAAGGTTTTCTCCCTTGTTAGTCTCTCTCTGAAACTTCTCCCTTATTAGTCTGGCTAACTTCATCCTTCAGATCTCAGCTTACATGTCATTTCTGGGAAGCTTCACAAGTTAAATGTACCTGGTACCTGGTGTGTGTTTCTATAGTACACATGGTTTTCTATCACAACTCTTCATCTCATTTTATTATCACTTACTGTTCTCCTTTCCCTGCTAGGCTAGAATCTCCATGAAAGTAGAGACCATGTTGAATTCATTCATTATATTCCCAGGGCTAGTACGGTGCCTGCTCGTAATAATGCTGCCTGTTTGTTAAATAAGCTAATGTTTTGTGAAACTAGATAGTTGGAAACAAAAAGATTAGTTTTGAATTTGAAATAAAGTTTATGACTAACACTAATGGGGGAAAAATCAATGCAACTGCTCTGATAACTAATTCTTTATAACCCGAAACTATTATTTTGTGTAGGGATATCTCTAAGTTTGCTATGCATTATATAATAGAAGAAATAGATGAAGACACATCAATGGAAGACTTGCAGAAAATGATGGTTGTGGCTCTAATATACAGATTACTAGTTTGTTTCTATGAGGTAAGCTGCTCAGCAAATATTAATATTTGTCTAATTTTAGATTATCAGCCCAAGACAAAAACAACTAATGGAAATTTAGTTATTCATGTATTCGTCATGTATTCGTCAAATGTCTATTTTTTCTAAATTTTCTAACATAAAACTTTTCAAGTTAAAAAAACAAAACTTTAAACATTGTCCCATGCACCGAAAGGTTGCCAGTTTGATTCCCCATCAGGGCACATAACCTAGGTTTTGGGTTCAGTCCCCAGTGGTGGGGGTGTGTATGGGAGGCAACCTGTCTGTGTTTCTCTCTACCTCTCCCCCTCCCTCTGCACCCCTCCTTTCCTTCCCCTCTTCCTAAAGTCAGTAAAACATATCGAGTGAGGATTAAAAAATAAATTGATAAATAAGAAAACATTCTAAGTGAAGACGTTTTATAATTTCTTTGTAATATATTTTAGTCTCATGGTCCAAAGATGTACTTGTAAATTGGTGTGGAACTGGAAATGTGTTTTTCCATAGAAACAACTGGCTCATAGAGAAATATGACAGTAGATCACTGGTAGTATTAAAGATGTTCTCTAATACCTTCAGAAATAAGCATTAAAAGGTTAACCTTTGAGTATTCTGTGAAATTCTTTCAACTTGAAATTTTTAAAGCATGAATAATAAGGCAGGAAAACTTACCTTTAAAATTGATGAAGTTGAACCCTGGCCAGTTAGCTCAGTTGGTTAGAGGGTCACCCCAATATACCAAGGTTGTGGGTTCAATCCCCAGTCAGGGCATAGACAGTAAACAACCAATGAATGCATGAATGAGTGGAACAAATTAATGTTTCTCCTCTCTCCCCTCCCTCCTCTTTCTCTGAAATCAGTTTTTTAAAAATGAAAATTGGCATGGTTGAGCTATTACTTTTGAATTATCCTTCTTTCCTTAGATAATTTGCATTTGGGGAGCAGGAGGAGCTACCCCAGGGAAGTTTCTGCTGGGGCTTCGAGTTGTGACATGTGATACATCAGTGCTTATTGCACCAAGTCGGGTTTTAGTGATTCCTTCCTCAAATGTTAGCATTACAACGTAAGTTCTTTTCTTAATCTACTATGTTCTTATGAAAATTTTAAATTTTGAATAATCAATATAGTTCATAAGTTATACCATTTAATATAGTATTTTTAGGATGTTGGTATTTTTTCTTCACGGCATACTATAATAAATGGGCTTACATTAAGTTTAAAACAAAGGTTGCGTGTTTTTTAGTTATATGATTGTAGACCCTTTTTCGGTATACATTTTCAAGAGAATCATTTTATGAATTGTAATTCACAAGAATGAAAGGGTGATTTGGGTATCGGTGCTATCTGTGTCAGTGCTCCAGGCCCTGACTTTTTTATTCTCTAGACCTGTGGCTATTGGGTCAGTTACTGATCTGCTCTCAGCTTACATTGGGCGTACCTGTCATCATCCCATCTTCAATAGGCAATGAGTTCCGGTAACTGTACGTGCATGCATCCTGCTTGTAATACTGTTAGCGTCTGCCTCTGGGGCAAGGTACAGATTAGTGATAATGGAAGTTGTGGAGGTGAGTAGGTGGTAATCATTTGAACAAAACAAGATACTGGTTGGAACTGCTGCTAGAATGATTCAGAGCTAGATTGTTAATATAAAGAAGTATGAACAAGAAATTCTAGAGGACTTGATTGTGCTGACATACTCAAAATTTCCTTACAATTTTTGTGCTCATAATAATCCTGGCTACTACTGTTAATGAATATCAATAATGGCTGTTTATTGAGCAACTCATAAGCTGTTAAAAACAGTGTGTATTAACTAATTAAATCCTAACAACCTTGTAAGCTAGGTACTATATGTACACTTACCTCTTTTACAGATGTGGAATACAACTTGTGATTCCTAGAACATGGATCTGAAACCAACTAGTCTGGATCCAGAGCCCACTCTTAGCCACTGTGCCTTTCTATATAGCCTTTGAATGTGCTAAAAGGCAGAAATCTAACAGTAGGATAATTCTCCATCCTAAGCTATTGTTGAAAGCAAAGCTTTTTTAAATCACAAGATCCCACAAAGAAAAGAGCTGGTAAAATATAGAGTAATTTTAAATACTAGTGCTTCATGGAAGGTAGAAAATGAGACTACAGTAAACACACTCAGTTTAGAAGATAGTAAAAACAGGAATGAGTGACTATAGAAAAGGTAAGTAATGGGAATAGTTTCCTTCTGGCAAAATACTAGAAAATACCATAAACTTTAGTTCATATTGTAAGATATATTACTGCTTTTCATGTGAAATTCCTAGTCTTTTATGTTGATGAAGTCTTTAGAACTAGCTGAGATGGTTTGATAATATACTTGAAAATAACTCAGATTTCAGAGGTAAAATTTCTCTCAACTATACTTGGAATGGTTTAAATACATATTTTGGACTCGATAGTATAATATTCATCTATATGTGGTATGTCTACAGTTTATATGATTTTTGCTTCATTTTTTATTTTTAGGTCCACTATACGAGCTTTGATCAAGAATTTTTCCATTGCTTCTTTTTTCCCTGCTTTCATCACACTGCTGTTTTTTCAGCATAATCGAACAGCCTATGACATTGTAGCAGGAACCATTGTGGTAAAAAGAAATGGGGTTAGATGATGCCCCCAAAAGTCCTGAATTCCATACTTTCTGGAATAATGACAAGACTCAATTATGTTTCAAGGCCATCAGTATTCCTGGGCTACGTTAATTGATGATTTAGAAATTAAAGCAGTTGCTCCAGTGTGATACAGGTGACTATGCTGAAAGTATTTTTACTTGAATGCCAAAGAATTTTTCCAGAAGAAAAACCTGTTGAATTCAAGTGTTAAAATTTTAGATCAAAAAGAAGGCCAGTGGTTTCATAATCAACAATGGACAATATATACTAAGATCTAAGGCATCAGAATTTGCCGAAAACATTTTCAGCTTTGAAATCTCCAAATGAAACTTTAAAAATTTATTTTGGTTTATCCCAAAATGATGGAAAATGTCCAGTTGTGTTTTGTAAACACATTATTCCTCTTTTAGTTAACACTTCTTGGGGAAGGTGTTGTCTTTGCTTTTTGGGGGGAGTGGGAACACAAATTTGAAAATCCACTTATCTCCCATCCCAGGAGGTGGTGACCTAGCTGCAAGAAAAAGGGGCAAGAGAGGCAGGCCTAGCAGTTCCCTTACCTAAAGTTTTAAAACCTGTACTGCAGTTTACTATGGGACTGATGTAACTTTACAACTATTCTTAATGCTTCAACATGTATTTTGGGGCAAAGTTTTGCATGATGATGAAAAAGTATTGTCATATTGCTATATTAACACTGACTTTTAAAGAAAAGCTAAGTTAGTGATTGCTTTTAATGGGGGGGGGGGATTTTCACTGTAAATCTAACTTAAAATTCATGTGCAAGTATTTTCAGTGCCCTAAATCAAACTATAAATATGTGGGGGGAAATTACTTCCATCAAACAGTTGCAATATTTACTGTAAAACAATATTCCCAGTATGTGTGCAGCATGAAGTATTAGTGCTTTTCAGTGTTCTGATTATTTCTCTATACACTCAGGATATTTACACACTAGTTTCCTTTTACATTTCATATAGTTCTATAACTTTTGAAACACCAAGTTAAATAATGAGTATTTCATGTTTAAATACTAATAACCTGTGAAATATTAGCAATTTTCCCATTATGGACTGTTCTGATATAAGGAAGAGTAGCATTTCCAGACTTTATCCTAAGTTCTTAGGTTCTGGGATCCAAAAGCTTGTAATTTGGGCCCGCCCTGGGTTATGTTTTGAGGGAAATGTTAAGCAAAGTATCACTTTGTGTATTGCCATTTTAATTTATTTTTCTGTTGAAGCAGAGTTGTGGAGTTTCAAGTGTGTGTGCTTTTGTTACACAACCCAGTTTGCTGTGTTGAGATACACCTAAACTAAAAGTTTTGTTTCTTAGGCATTTTCTCTAACTCTGATATTGTTTTCCAAAACAGAACAAAACACTAAACTGTGTTGGACAGTTCAAAATTAGATTGCTTAAAGGGTCAATCTAGGTTTAATTTTGGTCTTACTAGCAAATGGAAGACATGTCTACTATCACTGTATCAATTTTTAAAGTGGGCTTTTCTTTTATATTTAAAACTGTGAAAACATTCACATTTAATGGTTATAGAAACCATAACAGTATCCTTATTAATACCCTTTGTTGTAAAACTGCATAAACCATGTTTTTCAAAATAATTTTATATTAAACTCAACATCACAGAAAGCCTGTCAGTTAAGTGTATCATAGTATTAAAAAGATCATTTACTTGTAGCCTCTGGGAAGGCGTTATGGCCCTTCACAGTAAAAAATAAAACAAATTTTATTAGACTAGGAATTAGGAAATGTTACATAAACTTACCACTTTAGTGTATATACACTATTTTTGCCACTGATTGGGAATTCAAGTTGAAATGTCCTTCAGTTATGTAACTGTGGAATTTACTGTATTACTTCCTCTCAGATATTGGATGGCTTACTATCTAGGCTATTTTTATTTAGTATAACAAAGCAAACAAGTAGTCCAGTTTAATTTGTTATACTTAAAACATTGTACATCTATGTGGGTGTATTTAAATCCACCTCAGGATTCAAGTTATACTATATAACTCTATATAGTATTATTTTGTCTGCTTTTACAAAAAAAAAAAAATCCAAGTCTGTTTCTACGTATGAATTCCACACTGGGGAAAAGAGATTTTGATTCCAAAATAATTGAAAAAAGTGACAAAACAATGGGGGGAGGCAGGAGCAGCCATTTTTTCTCTGGGAGTTGTGAGGAGTGGAGAATCCCTCTTTCCAGTACTTCCTATTTCGTATATGTCATTTATACAAATGTGGATTTTCTGTGTCAGAGTATAATTCTCATGCTGAAGCTCTAGTCTGAAAAAGCAAAGTTGTCTTCACAGTACAAACATTATTCTTCGCTTTTACAACATAAGCAAATAATGAAGCAAAACTTAGGCGCCAAGCTAAGTGAGAGTGCTATTTCGGTGAATATGCCCCATAGAAAACCACGGAACAGTTAACTTTAGCATCCAGGAAATCTCAGTACCTGTTACCAAAGGTAAGCTGAGTCCAGGTTCCCCTTGAGCAAGTCTCACTGCCACTCGCGGTGGGCCTACAGCAGGTGCGCGTGCGTGATGGCAGGCCTTGCTCTTAGACTAATCTGTGACCGCAGAAATAAAGCCAACACTTTTTGGGATACTAAGCCTTTACTTTAAAATATGCCCAACGCATGGTACTTGAGGAGGACCAGTTCAGAAGTTACTTCTTTCTACCTAAACATTTACCGTCCAGTTTTACCCAAATATTTAGGATTGGGGGAAAATGTATTACATTTGAGGGCCATTTTGTCTAAATTAGAAAAATGAGTCTTCAGTGTATTTTTGTTTCAAATAGTGGTAAAAATTGTTCTAACTAAAAGAAAAATGTTCCCTTGTGTTTCATTAACGCGTATTTCCAGCAAAAGGAAGGTAAGGAGTTGAAAATTAAACAATTTGCTACTTGGGAATAAAAGCTTTCTGAGAGGAATAGGGGCATTAAATATTTTCATTGTACACCTATCCCAGGCTATTGTTTATGAAGAATATTTTTAAAATAACAGTATTCCTAAAATCTGACAAGTATCATTTCAATTACTTTCCATTTCCCACCCCCCATACCAAAGGTGAAAATCTTTACATGTACGTGGCTGGGATAAGTTCTTCATTTCAAACCGCGTATTTCCTTGCAGCCATTATAGTAGGGCTTGACCCACAAGCAGTATCTGATGGCCTACCTTTAAATAAATACAGCATTCTATTTTTAATAATTTGTATGCCACCAATTTGTATTCATCTCAATAAATACTTGGTCACCAATGATTTTGTGTTTTGCCTGTTTCTTTGCTTTAGAACCTTCCAAGGTAGAACTTCCTTCCAAATACATGTTTCTCCCCTCAGGAGAGACTACAGCAGTCAACTGGAGTGCTTTCAAAATCATCACCCACTTTCTGGGATATATCCTTTTAGCAAGTCATTCAAAAGTTACCTGTAGATGGTTAAGCTTAATGTTAAACTAATCCTATCTTAAAGTGGTTAACCATCCCAACTATCGTGCGAGAGAGTAACCACCCATATTACACGAGGAACCAGAAATTCAAGTCACAGCTAGTAAATGACTCAGCTGGGCAGTTTAAACCTCCTAATCTTACAAGCATTTCCTATTCTAAGCTTGACAAATCTAGACGACAGAATACAAAACAGGTTCTTCAAGAACAAAGATAATGAAGGATAAACTTAAATGTAGCTAAACTATGGCCTGGTCCAGTCCTGTAGACTATGTGCTGTTAGGACCCCAGCCACAAACTACACATTGTGGAATGAGAGTTTACTTTTGAGGCAAGTTTATAAAAGTTGCCATATTACAAGGAAACAAAGGTGCTGACCTGGTTATACAGCTGGTGTGTATAGCTGGACCCAACCCATTTCTTCAATTTTATACTAAATGTGTCAGTTTTCATTAAACAGGCTAGTCATTGAAAATTTCCATTGAGTTTCAAACTTGATACATAAACAGGCCTAGGAAATGACATGGAGTCATGTCCTGCGTAATGTTTCAGTCAACAATGAACCAAATGTACACTAGTGGTCCCCTATTATGATGGAGCTGAAAAATTCCCACTGCCTAGTAAGCCGAAGCCACGTCACAGCACAACGCATTACCGCTGCCTGCAGGATTTAGCACCGTAGCGCGCTGTCACGGTCTGTAGCTAGGAGCAATAGGCTGGTGTGTAGCAGGCTCAGCCACCTAGGTTTGTGCGCTACAATATGTTTGCTCGGCGACAAAACCGCCCAATGACGCATTGCTCCAACACAGCCCCAGGTTAAGCGACGCATGACTAATACAATTAAAGCAAATACAAATTCTTCCCAGGCTAAACCAGAAAGTGTAAGGCTTGATTATAAATGGTTAAAATTAGTCCACTTTTATTTCAAATAAAATCTTAACACAATTTCAGGGGAGAGCTTGTAACAATAAGCAACTAGCCCAGGCCAGGAGGCCGGGTTGGTTGATACGCCGCCCCGTACACCAAAAGGCGCGGGTTCAGTTCCTCATCAGGCAGGTACCTAGGTTGCAGGTTTTTGATCCTGGTCCGGGTGCGTAAGGCAACTGATCGATGTTTCCCACATCAATGTCTCTCTCTCTCCCTAAAATCCGTAAAAACATATCCTCAGGTGAGGAGAAAGAAAAAACTAAGCAGCTAGCTTACAAATTTTTCCATTGTCTGGGTTCTTAATGCGTGAAATCATAAATTACTCTAAACCACCAAGCTCTCAATGTGGCAAGTCCTGCAGATGCTTATTTAATGGTGCATACTTCTGGACCCGCCCCAGACCCAGTGAATTAATCTCTGATGAGGAGGTCCTAGAATACACATTTGAAACAAGTTATATCGATGTACATTCAGTAAGAACTGACACTCCTGTCATACTGACCAAATTATATAAACATACCTGATTTCTCAACCTTTCTGCAGGCTTTTCTCCCTTCAGAGGTTATTTTCAGACAGAAACAATTTCTCCTCGCCCTGGCTGGTGCGGCTCAGTTGGCTGGGCGTCCCCCGACGCCCCAAGAGGCTGCAGGCTCAGTTCCTGGTCAGGGCACATGTCTGGGCTGTGAGCTTGATCCCCAGTAGGGGACATGCAGGAGGCAGCCAATCGATGTTTCTCTCCCCCTCAAATTAATAAAACACATTTTAAAAAAGCAATTCATTGCTCCAGCATAAAAAGTGGGCTAATAACTGTTTCCTTGTCCTGCTTACCCCCTTCCACAAACAGTCAATTTTCACTTGTGTATGGAGCATACAGCCCTAGCCGGCCCGAGGCTGCTGTCAGTGTCACAGGGGGTGGGTCAGAAGCGCGTCTACAGCCTGAGCCGGTCTGGTAAGGAGATGCCCGCGCCGAGCCCGAGTAAGGACAGGCTGAAGTGAGAGCTGCTACATGAACGCACCCTACAGAGCTGCCACGTGCAGCCGGGGAATTACCACCAGAGACGGAAAACACGAGTCACAGTGCTCAACACAGCCCTGTACACTTCAGTTTGGGGGCCAGAAGATTTCATTTTCAAGAAAAGCCACTTTAAGGATGGTTCAGTCACTTCTTTACAAAGAAAATAAAAAGGTACTTAAGTAAAAGAAAACCTTTCTAGCACATTTCTTATGAAAAACCTTTCCCAGA